TATTTGTTTTTTGCTACCGATCCGCCCGAAGTGACACGCAGTGTCGGCTAAATATAACTGAGGATTTAAAGTTACGTTTTGCGTACTAATTAAATTTCACCCTTCTCTCTCCGCCCCTGCATGAGGCCGTCTATATGCGATTTAAGTTTCCACCCGGTGATGTTAGTGTTAACGTAATAATGGCATCCCAATTGATGGCGTCTCAAATAATTGAATTTTGCCATTATTATATCTATATTAATGTAACTTCTGCATAAATCAACGGTAACGGTTATTGTTTGTTATTTTGTGATCTGTAACAAGAACTGTCAAAAAGAGTTTTAATTGAAGCGCCATTGATGTCAATTCTGTTGTGCTACTCTCTATACTAAAAAAAAAGTTTGAATTCACAACACATGTAATGAAAGAAATATATTAATAGTCCAGTAAGTATGAAACAAAGAAAAATATTTTAATATTATCTATTTAAAAATTGAAATAAATTTAGTTTAGTTTGTGTAACAGAATTGTTACATCATCCCGTCATAATTACACGAACATTAGCAAAACTAGGGGTAGCCATGCGATTCTGTAAAAATTCAAACCAGATTTCGAATTCACTCATGTGTCCTAATTCACGCCCGAGAAAGCGGCATCCGCTCAATCTTCAATTGGTAATAACGTTTACTGGCATAAGTGAAGTGAGTTTGGAAGAAAAACCAAAATGTCTAAAAAAGGTTCTTTTATTACACATTTTTGTTTTGTTTACAATTTAAATTGAAAATAAAACGTGAAGGCTCGACACAGTTTTGTTGCAAAATACAGAATAATAGGGTTTGTCTCTTTCTGATCTATTTAAAAAATAAAAAAGCCGCGTAACCATAGATTTTGTTTTTATAGGAAAGCGAAAGGTATCTGTTTATTATTCTGTGATTTAGGTCATATATCACTAAAAATAAAGTAGCAAAGAAATCTTTTCATACTTCTTCCATTGCAGGTGATATAAAAGCCGGTTTAGTTAAGCGAGCGTTGTATATCTATTTGCTAAGTTTCGATGAAAAAGAGTAATCTTTACATTTTTGTGTCATTTTTATTAAAGAAGGAACCTAATGCTTTTAACAAGTATTTTATTGATTGATTTAATAAGATTGTCATACTGACTTATTATCACAGACAGCTAAGTGAGTTGTACTTTAACACTGGTTGCTAGTGTATATTTTGAAGTAAACTTTGAACAGATTTCTTTAATAAAGTCATTTGGTCACTTATTTATTATATCATAAAGTTCACTTTTCCGTACGACAATATAATTTTTGACGTCAAGCTATGGAGTATAAGTGGGCATCTCCATTTCAATTATCGTAACTTATTTCTCAGAGGATTTTGGGACGTCTATTTAGTGATATCTACTGGAGATGTTATAAGCGTCAATATATTTGGAAGACATTTAAAAAAAGAAATGGGTATTCGAAGTCGTGTGCACGATGCACGTGCATCTAAAAGTTAAGACCGTTAAAAGTTCTTCATTACATTTTTAAATACAACTGTACAACGAGTGTGGGTAATCATGATTGAACAGATTTTTTGTGTTTGTTATATGTCCGAGCTAAACTATTGCTATTGATGTTCGTATTCATACGTGTACCTGGCTTAAGGTATAGGTTCGGTGCAAATCTGATGGAAAATTTGTCGTGTATCATCAGTCGGGTAATGTTACAACAGATAAATATAAGTATAATAAAATGTTCAACCTTGGAGACTTAACCGATGATGCAGAGCGCACTAACGCGAAGTGTGCGATATATCAAACTCATGTTCCGTCAGAGTGCACCACCACTAGCCCACAATTTTATGCGTACCGAGCAACTGCTTCGTACGCGAGTGATTAAAGTTCCTCAGATCACAACTCACTTTGCACGCTCTGTATATAGGATTTCTAATTCCTAGTTCCTAGATGGGAAAAAAACTTAAATTTGTACATGATTGGCATTTTGGAGAAGCTCTATAAGGATTTTAGTGTTGTAAGGAATGATTAAATGTAAGTTAAGTAAGATAACCGATTTAAGAAAAACTAACAACGTCATAGAAATCATCAAAACGTGAATTTGATATAAGCTGCAATACGAGTAACATAAATTGTATGAAATCTTTTAAATTCTGTTCGTTTAGACATTATGAAGTTAGGTTTTTTTTTTTAAAATTAATTAAATATAAAATTAAAGCAAGTCACATGCATGCTTCCAGTTTGAAAAGAAATGTTTGGAGGTTGGTATTAACAAACTGAACTATAAGATCAGTTTCGTGATTGCTATCGAGTTATATGCCGGCGGTATTCGAAAGACATCAGTTTGTTAATGCAAGCCTGAAAGTCGTGATTAGTGATGTTTCTTTATCTTTAGCTCTAATTTAATTTTTTAATCGTATGTATTACAATCTTTAAGATTTGTAGTTAATTCTTAAGTCTGGCGCTTAGCGAAGCCCAAGATTCGATTGTTTAATTTTTTTTCCAATTGATTGTAAATAAGAAGATTTAATTCCATATTGATTTTGTTTCGCTGAATTATTGTTTGATTTTTATATATATACATATATATAATTATAAGCAGCAAATACAATCTATTTGGCGTCCGGTGTTTATACGCGTATGATCAAGTACAAATTTAGGATTTGTTAGTGAGCAGTCTCCGTCAAATGGAGAGACTTAAGTCATTTAACTTATATTAACCGAAGGTTATTTTTTTAAATGCGAAACTTTACAGCTATGGTTAGTGTAAAAGTGTCCCATTCCAAGAGTCATTAAGACTTACTTTGCTGGAATAATAGTATCTGTATCGCGCTCGACCTCTTCCCTTCATCAAAGGTTTAGCTTTAAAGATTGTTGTTTGCCTTATAAAAAAATGTGATCTTATGACGATTATACATAAAGGATGTCGCAGTACGTTGCGGCCGCAGGCGTTTGAATATAGAATGAACAAATCTTCTGGATATCAAAATATTGATGGTGTTTCTAGGATGAAAATAAGAAAAAAAAAACTCGAATCACGCTTAAACAAACGGCCTGCGACCGCGGTGACTTTGAAAGAATATGCCTTGTATAATGATAACAAAATGAATTATGTAATATAGTAAGACTTGACAATGTGGGTGTTGCGAAGGGCTCACTCGGCCTGCTGTCAATTGGATACAGTGTAGCGTAAAGGGCTTTATTGGGTGGGGGTTGGTTGGTTGCGATCGAGAATGCAACGCGGACTGTGTCGTAATAAGTGTCAGAGTTTGTATGTTACACTGGCTCGATTTCTAATAAACGTGATTTTATATACCGTTTTTTACGTTGGGATTTTCAAATAATGTAAATCCCACTTTAAGTAACGGTATTTTAAGCTCATATTTCAATTGTTTAATGTTAGTAGAGTCGTTGTTGTAATCTACCTTTTCGAAGCGTTCATGTTGCTAAAAATGAACTGCAATTATGTTTTCTATTTCGAGCGGAGCGTTGTGTCCGTAGATTTTACGTTGCAGTCTTAGAATGTTGACGTAACTACTGCCAACCTTAGATGTTAGTTCTGATAAGATATGGTGTGGAAATCTTTTTATTCTTTTATTTTCCACCGCCACGTTACTTGTAAAGCCCTCTCCGCGTATTAAAAATATATATTAAAAATAAAACTTTTTTATAAATCATAAGATGTTCTTAGTTCCACAACAATGAATAAAATGTGTAAATTTTCTTATTAGTAAGTAAAAGATCTCATATGTCTTATTTTTTGTTTTGTCTTTTTTATATTTTGAGGAACTTCAGAATAGTCGAGTTGATTTAAAGACAACTTATGTAAAATAAAATATATTGATGTAAATAAATTATGGAGTTTTATTTCCATTCATAATAATGGTTTTCTGATTAAAATTTTTAGTCGCCCATTTTATGATCGCCAGATGGCTCAGTTTGTATGGTTTACGTATAGCGAGTGAGGAGGCGGGGCCCTAAAGATTGCTTTTAGGCGCCGTCTCACACCTATTCATTCATGCCGAAACGAAACATCTCGAATTCTGGATAATGCCACTGCCGTAAATTTTCCATTACTAATAGTAGATTCATAAGACAAAAATTTAACGTGGCATACCTTTAATTATCCTAATCATAATTAGGTACGCATAATATTAACTATCCTCCACATCATTCTCAATAGAGAAACGAAGCTTACAACAGAAAGAGCAAGCAAACGTGCTGCTCAATGAAAGAAAACTCATTTATAAATACAGAATGTTAAGTCTCGTAAATTTCTAATGCGCTGGAGCCTTGTCTGCATAACATCCGTGTGCCGTTATATCAAATTTTTGGAGCAGAATCGATTTATATGTAAATATTGAGGTATAAAGAGGTATAATGGAATTACATAGTGCAATGCTATGAGGCATGCTACAGTACACAGTATCCTTGTACATCACGTGACCGCATGCATCGCCGAGCACCCCCCCGCAAACCTTCGACGCCGCATGCCTTCCTTTGGAGGCCACTTTAGTTCACACATAGAACTCAAAGTCAATTTATTTTAAACTTAATTATATTGTAACTATTTCTTTAATAAATAGTTTTTGAATTTAACATTGTTTTTTTTTCGAACCTTGGCTGCCAGCCTTCTTAATTATGGAAAATATGAAAACAATAACATTTACTTTGTAATAACGCGATAACAAACGGAAATGACATTTTTTTTAAATAATCAAGTCATAATGATATGAGAGATATTCGATATATTCAATTTTCAAGTCTAGCAGTGCACCTGGGCACGGTATAGCATTACAAATGACTCGAGTCTAGAGACGTGTCGATTTGCAATGTCGCACTGTATATTGAACTAATTACACAGTTTAACTGGCGATTTTGTCTCAAAACTGATAAACAGATTGCTGTGAGAGTTATTCCTTTATCTCTGTAACTTCTGGTTTATGAGTATATCGTAATAGATGACAGTTTCTTTAATTAATTATAATAAGGGTAAACTAAATAAAAACTCATTTTACTCGAAATAAATTGTATTTCATTATATTTCTTATACCTATGTGTAGGGTCAATTATATACTATAATATGTTAATATTGCTACTGCGATGCACGCAGTGCGGAATTTATGTATGAACAATGATCATATTAATATGTTTTTGATGTTGAAATTTACATTATTAATTCAGAGATTAGGTCTGGGTCTTGGGCGTGCGCGATAGGCAGGGCGGCCTCGAGGGCGTGCACCTTTGCTAGTATTAGGTGGGCTCTTGGGACGAAGTGCCTCAATACGGTCGGTGCAACCGGTGGTTTCGCGTCCTTCCGCAAATTGCGCCGCATACGTCTCCGCCTTGAAGTTAGAGTTGGTCAGCTCGTGTCCGATTGTCACCCATCCCGGACGAATCGTGGAGTCCCGCCCAAATAGATGGATTCTACAATGGAAACTCACGTTTAGCTTCTTCTTAGTGAAATAACAATAAAAATGGCATATAAAGTACAGCAGCCAACGCTTTGGATTATCAAACGAAACTCCAATGAGGTAGTATTAAAAAAAAAGTTCCCGAAATCAAACCAGATGTCGCTACGGTACGTTCTTGATTACTCCATAACAACCCCTCCGGTTTTCTTTCATGTTTAAAAGTAAATTAGTTTTTAAAACTCAATAAACAACTCATATTCTATTTGCACTTCTTCGTATTTGTATTGATATCTAAGTTTCGAACTTTTCAAATTTCAGTTTTTTTAATATGTTATACTCCATTCACTATAACATTAGAAAAAAGAGGGTCATAGAAGCAGCAGTGCAGAACATTTTATTTTCAAGTTAAATTTAAAAAATATATATTAGTTTTGTTGAAACTTTGAACGTTAGGTAGTCTGAAAGAGCTGGGCAATTATCCATTTTTTATGATACCTCCGGGTTGAGATGAGGCCAGTATTTTATAAATTAATCTTTTAGCCCCAAGCCAACTTGGAACTAAAACTGAAACTATCGGTGTGTTTTGATAAATTCTAATTGTAAGTGTAATTAGTTAGACTATTGATGAAGACATTGGAAAAACTCCCTGAAATGTCAAAGTTTGAGGGTAGGTATGGGGACTTAGAGCGTAATTTTTGTAGGCCACTCGGGCCTTTACCGGCATCCTCCATATTTACCAAAACTTAACAACAAAAATAAAACAATAACACCACGGAAAACGGCAAAACAACATTCACAATGAATGACAATCCCAGATTACGATTTTAACAAGTATGAATAAATAATAATCTGACAAAATTCAAAAGCTGTACTACTGAAACGTTTGAAGGGGTTAGGCAACGTTTTAAATTTGGTAGAGTTATAGTGACATGAGAATCGTGCCGAAACTATCCAACCCTGCTTCTTTAGGTTCTTTACGATGACCAATTTTTATTGTAATAGTTATTTAATCATTTAAGGTAGCCATATACTCATAAATTTGTTTAATAGATAGCTTAAATGACAACAATTAAGTATAGCATCTGGTATTTAAGTGGATATGTAGCAAATTAGCCGTCAGTAGTCAGTCTTAAAAGTAACATGATTATTGATATTTTGTCACAAAGGATACCATAAAAAGAACCTTATTAACTTCTGTCTAATGCTATAATGAATGGAGTATAGTTAAAAAGAATGGAGTGACTGGCTTTGGTCCATTCGTTTCCTGCAAAAATCAACTTTTGCTAGAGTCGCCATCTAGTGATGGTGCTTTTTAGTGCTTTCATTTTTTTTAAATACTTCCTCATTGTATATAACGGCTTGTTTACACGATGATAAGTAAAAAGAATCATGTTCACTTTCCAATATTGATTGATCTGTCACATGTTTTTTTTATTAGTTTATGCTTAAAAAATAATAATATCTTAGCATCTTTTCATCTGGAGGCCAGGGAGATTTATAATTAGTAATAATGTTTAGATGTTATAACAGCTGTCACAAAACCCAAGATAATTGTGAAACCACTTTAAAAATGTATGCATTAAAATCAAAAGTTTTTATAGTTTGGCTCGTAATATGGGAATAAATCTAAATGTTATTGTCAATGTGCTTTTTTTAACATTACGACGAAAGAATATTTTTATTAGTAGATGAAATGAAACGTAGCACCGTCATTGGGTCCAAATCGCATTAGGATAGTGTAGCAAACCGTCATTTTAGTGTCCGGATCGTATTCGCGTAGTTATTTATTTAAAGATTTAATTTCCTGATATCCGATAAGTAAAAAAATGTGCTACATTTTGAGATATATTACATCAATGGACGCGTTCCCAAATTTTTAGGCATGATTCTTTGATTAATTACTCGTCTACTAAATACGAGTAAACCAGCATATTCGTGCCGAGCGAACAAGGCATCTAAATCCCGCAGTGTGAGTGAGACGGTTGTATTTTACACCTTGATTATTGAAATAATGCTTAATAACCATCGTCATAATTGTTATACATGCTCTGCGTAAATGAAGTTTTGACCATATTGGTTGGACCTTATGATTATTGAAATAAGGCTTAATAGCCATCGTTAAAATTGGTAGGTCTAGTTGGAATTTATTGTAACTTGGCAATTTGGTATAATATGTTAAGTGATAAATCTTATTTTTGTTAAGCACGTGCAAAACTGTTTTTTTATGATCAGTTGGTAGCAGTTTGATAACGGGTCATTTTGTCTTTTGGTAAGTAAAAAAATTAAGTTATTGAGAATAAGCACTTGAGATTTTATACTTTTCTTAATTAAAAAACCGCCCGTTGATGGAATCAAAAATTTGTTTCATACAGTAGTGGTGCTGATGGAACATAATATTCAGTTCAGTAAGTAATTTTTGTATATTATTGTGCCAGTAAAAATTACCTTCTCCTTCCAAGGCAGAAATGTTCCATGATATGAAATATCTCTATCGGTTTCTCTGTACTTCCAAATTCTGGGTCTTCTGATATTATAAGATCTATGTCAACATTAGCATGGATGAAGTTTCCATCAACTGATCGACGGACTGTTCCTTTGATGCCCATCAAGCAGTGTTCCTTCGTCCTCTGGAATACTGCATTATGTTCCAGATTTTTAGAATGTCCTGGGTTTTTAATATTGGTTTTTATCCAGCAAATATCTTCACAACGTCGAAAACCCCATTTCTTAAGGCATTCTCTACCCATATCGAGACCTGAAATAAACTTATATTATTACCAAAATACATTTGGCTGTTAGGGTTACACTATTAAAATTAATATAAATAATATAAATTTTAATTATTATTGACTATCTTAGCATTTTTTTCATTTTCTTTACGTAAGTTCCACATAGTGTTGCCAGACGTCCCGTATTTCAGGCATAAATTTAAATATACAACCGAGACCGACTCTGTCCCGTATATCAATTAGATTTCTAGACTGATGAATAAAATAGACGTAGGTACTTTAAATAAATGTAAAGTTATGTTCATTAATTCTTCGTTTTATTTGCTTTATATACCATGCATACTTATGAGTAAATAACTGTACCATATAAAATACTATATTATTTTTTATTCCCGCGTCTCTTCTTATTTGCCTAATAATATAACGCTTCTAGATATATTTTTCAACTCGCAGTTAAGTTTTAAAGCCCAGATTCGAGAATTCTTTAGTTCTATGGACTAGATTCGGTTGGGTAAGCGATTGGGGTTGACGTGCTCTCTGAAGCCCTGCGATCTGTTTCTTGTATTTTGATCTGACTTTTTACCAAGAGCCGGAGAGTGCCTTCTTATTAGTGTTTTTATCAATGGTGGAACGAATTGTTGGTGTCGTCTATTAGGTAAGGCGTACTTAAAAATACACATATATGTATGTCAATCTATAATTTGTATATATATAAGATTTAAACCTAATTGTAATCTACTGAAGTAAGTTGAAATGTGTATGCTGTTGGTTGTCCATATAAAATAAATAAATATAAATAATACATGGAATTAATAGCATTAGCTTTGTTCTATAATGACTAATTATATGTACCAACTTTGAAAGTTGTATTTATTATTGTTATAATACATACTATTTTGGTAATGACATTATTTATGTAAATGTTGTTACTTATGATAAAGAGCTGGAAAGTTTCTTTCTCTTGTTCTTCTTGTCTGCTAAAAGACGTCATGAACGAGTGGCAGGTAAAAATATATTTTTGGGCGATTCAAAACAAGCTTACTTGAATACATTTTCATTAATACCTTCTATATACGGAATTCCGCGAATACCGAGATCCCGCGGGATTAAAAATTCTTATATACCGATGATCTTATTGAACTATGATTATAATTGTATTATTTTTTTAACAGTGTCATTTTTTGCCTATTAAAGCATTAGTCCCAAAAAATCCGGCAACTCTAGTCTTAGGTCAGTTGTTCTTAAAAGCATCCTTAATGGTCCGAGAGCTGAAAGTGAGAGTGGGAGAGATTTATTTATTTATTTTATTATAGTAAAGATTTAAGGACAGCTTACAAGACTACACTGATAATAGTATTATTACAATAATAAATTAGCATGCAAATAAGTGTTGCCTCACTCACAAGCTGCTAAGGCATGTACAGTTATAATATTTTTGCTCAGATACAAAAAGCAATAAATCCGCTATAAATATACTATATTATATCCCAAGTGTAGAAAATAAAGCATTTTTTTTTTATTATACATATTAAATAATAAATGATTACATACTACTCATATGTATTAACATGACTGCTGAAAGCTTCTCCTATTTCAAAGTTCAAAGTTCAATTGTCAGTCGGGTGTCCCCCAATGATCCCACTTAGGGCCGTTATTTTTCAACTTATTTATTAATGAAATCGCACAATGCTTCAAACACGGTACGTTTCATTTGTGTGCAGACGATTAGAAAATAATTATACGCATAGGGGACCCATCAGACTGCTTGTATTTACAGGAAGACCTCAATAGACTTGTGAATTGAATGATTGTAATCACATGACATTAAATATAAACAAATGAATAGATATTTGCTTTACTCACAAAAAAACTACAACCTACAACGGATTTATTGCTTTTGTATCTGAGCAAAAATTGTAATAGCCCAGCATATGCGCACCGATCTTCATCACGGTCAAATTTTTTCATATAAGAGCATAAAGATCAAAATATTAAGTTTTACCATATTTTATAAGTTATTGGGTACCTTTTGCGTTTCGAAAGGTAAACGATACTGACCTTCAGAGCTTCCACACCAGAGGAAGATGAAGGACCGTGCTTGCGCCAGCTGCTGTAGGTCTAGTGCCAGAAGCTCTGGCCAGCGCCAGCCTGCGCCCAGCGGTGGCTCCACCAAGATAACGTCGAACTTGCTACCGAGCTGCTTCAAATCAAAAGTCTGTTCCCAACATAGAAAATAGCTCTTAGAAAACATATTTAATAGACATTTTCCAACGTAAGCATTCTGGAGCTGGGATGCAAATTAAAATTTGATATAAACAAGTTTTTGAATTAAAAACTAGGTAGGTATTACTTTAACTGTGATATGAAAAATGCCAAAATAAGGTAATAATTTGATAACAAAGTATGTACTAAATTATGAAATCTGTTGAATTTATTGGAAGTCAAAAGACCACAAGCCTTGTGAGACCTAATTGCGGGAAAATCTATTTTTTATTGGAGATTATTATCTATTTGATGGTTACTAAAATTTTAGAAATATAAGTTACTTATTAAAAAAGTTATGCAACTTTTTAGTCTCAAAACCCATGAACACATAAGGTAGATAAAATTGCAGTTTTATATAAATTACCTTTAAATCACATTTCAAATACATAGGAGGGGTAGCAGTCTCTGCTATTAAATCATCTTTTAGTTTGATAAGTTCCCTCAACTTTGGGTATTCTTCAAAACGGTCAGCCAGTCCTACATCTCTTATAAAATTCTGTGGTCTCTGACCAGTATCCACAAAATGTTGGCAGTAGTCATTATGAGGGTTGGATGATTGCGTGCCCTGTGAAGTTTTAAATAAAAATAGTCGTTCGAAAAGAGATAAATAGTAAAATATGTTACTATAATCCCTAGAAATTTTATAAAACAAGGACTTACTGGGTTTAAACCATTATACATCTGAAATAAGCTGACAGCAATCTCATGTTTTATATTCTGTCATTGTTAATTTGCTTTAGGCAGTAGTTTTAACTGACCAACTTTTGTACTTGTTATAAAGGAAAACAGTTAAAAACTAATGTCATATTACTGAATTACTAATAGTAGTGAATGTGATCCACAAGAAATTAAGATAACACCTTCGCAACCTGATTTTAGGAAAATTATTACAGGCTGTCTTTTCATTATGCCTAATTAGCAAATACGTCAGACTTGCAAATTGAGTAAATAATAAATAATTATTAGATATAATTTCTGTATGTTTGAAAGTAAAACACGTGTTAATAAAATTTTATCTAATAAACCAGCTATGGATAAGAGACTATGCAAAATTTCAATAATGCATTATTTGTCTATGTTGTATTTGTTATATTACTTGATTATATATTTGTAACTTACCTTCAAAAACGTTGAAGAGTCTGTATAAACGAGACCATCGATCTGATCTTTATTACTTGTGGATTTCTCATTTCCGTCGTTAAATGTGTCAGAGACTGCTTGCTTTTTTGCAGGGACGTCAAGAGATGCCCCTAAAGCATGTCTTAATTCACTGACACTGCCAACGCCAAGCTATATTAAAGAAATATTTATAATATAATCAATAGATGTCGAATCAAACATTTATTAAATTCAGGTATCGTGAAGGTGAGGTTATGTTTACTATACATACTGTTTGAGCCAATAATTTCTTCCTTTTCTGCGACCTCTCACGAATATCTTTTAGTTTCTCACTCATAATAACATAATAAAACTGTACATAAAATATTATTAGCTTGATTAAAGATGAAGAGGTGACGAGCGTCCAAATCCAAAACAAAACAACCATAGAATACACATTACTCTCTGAAATCCACAACTACAACTATATAGGCATAAGCAAAAAAGTATCGATAGGTACCTCAGGGTATCAATACATTTGTTTTGATCCAAGTATTTTGAAATCAATACTTTTGTTTCGATATTTTCATTCTCTCTCCTTATTTCTAATAAATTATTATTATAAAAAAAATATTAATGATGATGGTCTATACTATATTTATCAATGTTTAATAAACATCGATATTTAGTTGAAATGTTCGATTTTTTAACTTTAAATCGTCTATATTTAGCTGAAATCAATCTATTTTTTAATGATATATCGATGATTTGATAATCTATATATATAAAAATGAATCGCAAAATGTGTTGGTAAGCGCATAACTCAACAACGCCTCGACCAATTTGGCCAAATCTTTTTTTAAAATGTTCGTTGAAGTTCAAGGATGGTTTTTACGGCGAGAAAAAATAGAATTATTGCTGGAAAAACCCTAAAAATAGCCCTTTTCTTTTTCCCATACAAATGATTTGTAACTAAAACGTAGTCAATTTGAGCTTTATTGCTATGGTATAAAGTTCATATTAAATTACAAGCACTCACTGTTGTCTAAGCAATGTAGGTGTGTTCCTAACGTCAAAGATCATATCTATCAAAACAATGTGCGTGTGTGCGTTGGAGCACAGAATACATAGTTGGAGGAGTTTAATGTCGCGTTCCGAAACTCGCGTAGTTTCGGCACGCGAGATAAAATGCATCAGTTTCCACGTCATTACATGTATTGCCGGAACATTGATGAAAATACGCTCTGTAGTAGCAAAGCTGTTGGGTCCTAGATAGCTCATTGGTTAGAGCAGTCCCTGGATCGCGAATGGGTTCGAGTCCCATTCCGGGGTACAGGTAGATGGATTCTTCCAGCATTTTTCCTTGAGAATGTTTATATATTTTTTTAATTCGAATAGTTTACTTTTATAATGCTGTTGTGTGTAATGTGTTTTTATGATCATAAAAATCTCTTTTTTCTATATTTAATACTATTACTATTAATACATTGCAATAATAATTATGATTCACATGATTAACAATAAAGCGATTACTTACTTTTAAATCCTTATATATGTTTTATTTAATTATTTTTTATTCACAACGCCCTATCACCAGGGTGACGGTTCTGTTCAGGAGAATTTTTTTAAATACGTAGGCAAAAAAACTGCCACATTACAAATCTTTTTGACAGGACGAAGTCTGTCGGGTCAGCTAGTATACTTATAAATATATACTATTATAACTATTTTTCATGAATTGGACGCACAGTTAGATCTATATTAGATGTCACCGATACCAAAGCAAGCTGTATTGTAATGTCTAGATTTTATTTTTAATTTAAAAACTTAATGAAATAGAATGTTCTTTAAAAAATTACTGTTTTATTTCAGATACACGTGTCTTATTTTGAACTTTAGGTGATATAAAAAGTTTAGTCACAGATTTGAAATTGTCATTGACAATATATTAGAATTTAGAACCCAATCATCAGAAATGCTGTAGTGTAGTGATTGTTATTTAATTGTGAAAGTAATTTCTATTGTAATGTAACCGTCGTTTCGTATAAAAATAAAAACATATTAAGTTAATAATGCATGTGTGTACTGATTTATTATTTCAAGTTAGCAACATAACACTTCATTCAGGTTTTCTATTAATGTATTAAAAAATCCACGATACCTTCAGGTATCGATACTTTTGTATTGATACTCTTTTGGCCTCGATTTTTGATACGATACTGTTATCGAGTAAAGGATATGAAATGAATCTTTTATACAAATAATCAAGTAATTTTAGATTTTATAAAGTAGAAATTGATTTTAAAAAAAGGATGTTATTTTCATAAATAATCGATAAATAATTGATTATTGTGTATATGTAATCGTTTATTCTACTTCTAAGTCGTTTCATTCTTGACAGAGTGATCGTGGTTGTCAATCAGGAACAGTTTGAGTGGCAAGTTCTAATAAACGTTTATAGAAATAATCAATTAATATTATATATTTTTTTGAAACCATATGTTATTTTTTGCCTTTTAAGTTTGCTCTTTTGGTCCGGAGTCCAGAACGCGAACTGTCAAAGAAAACTTTCTTTATAATATTAAATTAACGCCATCTGTGCATCTATGATGGCATTCTTTCTATGTTTTTGAAACAGTTTAGTTGATTCATTTAATCAAACATTCACTAGATGGAGTTAATGGACTGTATTTTTCACCGAGATTTGGTTGATATTTATGTCATTCATTCTTCTTCATCTTATATTAATGCCTTAGTTGCGCATTTTACACAATTCTGCCGAAGTCAAATGAATAAATTAATTTCTACATCTAAAATGAAATGAATGAAAGATGGCAATTTTCATTCGTTGGTGAAATTTCATTTTTCTAACGACAAATTCAAAATAACAATCTCTTGCGATTTGTGCTATCTATACTTTTATTTTCAGATAATGTCGATGTTATTTAGATAAGATTCCAACGCATTAGCAATACAACGCATGGCATTTACACCAGAATCTGATGGCAAAAAAATTAAAGAAAATATGTCAATTTTCATACGGCATTATAAATTGACTACTGACAACTGTCAAGTCAGTTGTTGTGAATATTTGTGTAAATTTGAATTTATTTTCTGAAAATGCCCAAAAAGTCATTGATATTTCAAGCGAGTAATATTGTTTTTAATGTTTATAGCAAAATTTGTCAAAGTAGCTGAAGAATAAGAAGAATGAATCTGGATAATTTATTTTCTTCTTTTCACGATTCCTATTTTTACCCGGCGTTAAAAATGACTTTATATCTTCTCCTTCACCAATAATTAAATTAATCGTTTTGTTGCATTAGTCGACACGCCAACGAAAAATTGACAAATTAATTCTTTGAAGAAAAATTAAGTATCAAGACTCGTAGTTGCTAGTTACCGGTTAATTCATAAACACACTTTAAATTATAAAAAAAATATTCTTCTTTTCACATATTTTGCTATAAACGTTAAAAACAATATTTCTCGCTTGAGATATCAATAGCGTTTTGGGCATTTTCATATAGTAAATTAATATTTTCAAAAATTATCATAATATTTATATTTTCAGGGCTGTGGTCGGGCCGTACTCCGGTGGAGTTGCGATCGTACGAAGGAGGGATCCGCGAAGAGGCCCCATGGGGGTTGCCCGAGGGCAGCCTCTGTAGATCCTTCCAATCGATGGGCTAGGACTGGGAATTTACAGTTGCGATTTCCGGTCTTTGGTGGGGGCAGATCGGCCATTTTGCTTAAAAAGATAGTTAAATATCTGTTGAGTTACGGCACCTTCTTGAAGTTACCTAAGTGTACACGCAGTAGCGGCGTTAGGGTAGGGCGCGGTTGGGCGACCGCCCAGGGGCGCCGGACGAAAAGGGGCGCCGCAGGCCGCGGCGCCCCTTTTTCATCCAGCGCTTCTTTCTGATTCTGTATAATGTGGCCCCACCCCCGAAGGGGCTAGACAAGAAACTGCCCTGAAAAGGGCAGGTCCCACAGCGGGTTGGGAGTACGTCTCAGAGACATTCGAGACGCACCCCCACGACGAGGCAGGAGCGTGCAATGCCGGCCGGTGCGCAAACCGGCCAGCTGCCCCTGACTAGAGACCCGAGATGCGCAACTGTGCAATCTCCGGTCCCCTACCCATCGTGTTGGGAGGATCCACACAGGCAGAGCCCTTATCGTGCCCCCCCCACTACAAAAATACCTCCACCTAGATGGCGACTCTAGCAAAAGTTGATTTTTGCAGGAAACGAATGGATCAAAGACAGTCATTTCCGTTCATTTTAACTAACATATTAAAAAACTGAAATTTGAAAAGTTTATTTATTTATTTATTTATTTTATATGGACAACCAACAGCATACATATTTCAACTTACTCCAGTAAATTACAGTTAGGTTTAAATCTAATATATATACCAATTATAGGTTGACACAGTTCGAAAAAGAATCTCAATACAAATACGAAAAAGTACAAATAGAATATCAGTTGTTAATTGAGTTTTGAAAACTAATTTACTTTTAAACATGAAAGAAATCCGGAAGGGTTGTCATGGAGAAATCAAGAACATACCGTAGCAACATCTAGTTTGATTTCGGGAACTAATGTTTTTTTCTGATACTTCCTCATTTCCCACAGACGCCCTCTTATAGTTCCCTTCCTCATTGAAGAAGGCCTACTGGGTCGGCGAAAAAGGAACAAGAACCTTGAGGATATTTTTTTTATATTCAAGTTGCCTCACTTTCAGCATGAATTGAAAGGAAACTTAACAAGAAAAATGTTATATTATGGTAAAACAGAACAACATACCGATTACCAATACGAAGATATATATTTTATTAGGTGACGTACATTTGCGGGCATTATGGTTCGGGCATTTAAGAAAATTTTCGTTTGTGCATGTTTAAACGTTAAGTTGAAGCTAAAATGCTGCAATACAAACGAATGCATCGGCAGTGGAACCGTTGTCTGGCAAGTCAGATGGAATAGCTACTGAAGAGATGTGGATGAAAAATCCCGAAGTAAGGGAGCAAGTTGTGCTATAATTACAGTTGCTGCTCAAGATAAATCTGTTATTGATGTACAACAAATACATGTACTAGATGATGTTGATACTGTTGTCCCGAATATAGCGGATCCAGCTACTTGTCCACTTATTTGAAAAAGCAAAATAATTGATTATATAATAAGTAGTGGCCCACTGCAAACTCACTGTCACAAAGTTACAACAATAACACAAAGTTATAGATAACAATTATGTGACACCCTGTTAGGGTAAAATTGAATCTGTACTTACCTAATGATGTGATCCGTCAAAAATGAATCAACTACTTATACGCTATTTAAATAAAATTAATGTCACTATATAGTTGGAACAAGAACATCGTAACGTAGCGTTAAACGTTTGATTACTGTGTTTGTTTGTTTTAAAATAATCAAATAATTGTTTTAAGAGCGTCCACTTATGTCGAGCAAGAAGATAATAGGGATGATGACAGGGTAAAAAAAATGCAATTCTATTTAGTCCGTCAGTCAGATAATAGAAAAATTTTAGATACGTATTTTTTTTTACTTCAATTTAACAATAAATAGCTTAGATAACAGGCATTAAAGTTGAGGAGTGGGGGCTCGCTACGTCACAGTTGAGTAGAAAACGTACCTAACGTGACGTCATGCGAAATTTCAACTCCATGTAAAGCCGTAATTTTATGATTACGAAAAAAATAAAAAAATACGTGTTTAATATTTTTTAACACTCTACCTGACGGACAAACAAACAAAAATTAGTCATTATCCCTATTATTGATTGTGTTCTTCTTCGCCAAAAATTAAAAGAGATAGATCTAGGGAATCCCCGATTATAGAATAACACATTGTTTCTGTATGGTCGGAAATTTGGGGATTCCCGAGAAATTAAACCGATTGAACACTACTTTCCATTCTAATGCTGCCAACTTAACAATCTACCTAAATTTAGGGAAGATTACAAGTAAGTAGACTGGGTCGGCGAAAAAAAAAGACTAGTAACTGATTTGTAGTATGTAGTAGTAACTGATTGTAATTGAATTGCAGTTAGAGGGCGCCGAAGAAATTTCGCCCAGGGCGCCAGTAGTGCTAAAACCGGCACTGTGTACACGTGTTCGGTTACGCAAGGCATCTCGGGTCTCAACCCTTTTTTTTGCGTAGGGGAATGCTTTATGCACTGTCCCTGTTGCTTGACATACACAGGGTGTTGTGTGAGACTCTATTCGCACGGACCCGCCCGAAGGCTAGTCAAAACGCAGCTGGCATACCCACTTAACAGCCAGCCCCCTTCATCCCATAGGAGAGGGTACACCACAAAGAGTGCCATGGTGTTTTAGTGAGTAGATTTCTGAGGCCAATGTAGGTAGTTATTTTAGTGTTCACGGAGGAGTGTCCCGCACACACTCCCTAGGTAGGAATTAAGGACAGTCCTTAACGTATTTCTTAGACGAAAAAATGTAAAGCATAGATTTCTACCTAGAATATAATGAATTTCGGCTCATTAACTTATACATTAACTTAGGTACTTAAGTAGTAAGCTGAACATTGAAAGCTTTAATCTACTGCATTTGGTAGTAAAATGGTTGTTTTTAAATCTGTAATAGTGTGGCGTCCATTTGTGCATTGGTTCTTCTCCACGCATTTCCCGGTAAAGTGGTCTCTTAATAACCCGAGCTTGCAGTGGCAGCCTAGCTCACAGCGGCGCGGGCGGACGCAACGGTGTTGTATACAAGATGCCTCGCATCCGTACCGGCAAGCGTATTCTTCGTTTGGGTCCTCACATTTTTCTGTAGATAAATAAGATGAGAAAATATTTTTTTTAAATAAACTTAATCAAATCAATAAAACGAAGTACGAAAAAAACAAGTCAACAATGCAGTTATCATAAACACTGGGACAATTAAAGCTGTCTCAATTGATAGAATCACACAAAGAGAACGCGCTATTAATTCGCCAAATGCGTCTAGTGCAGAGTGGTGGCTGTTACAAATACAAAGTTAGAAAGCTACTAAGCCGATTTAAAAAATAATAATTGCCAATTTATCAGCCAGTAACATAGGTTTATTTAAATAAATGTGGCAACAAGTTTTCGGTGCTCGCTATTGGGCTATGAGATGGCCATTGTCTACCTAGCACACCTCATTTGTTTTACAAAAATACTTCGTCAAAGTTTGACTAAGTTTAGATAGAAATGGCACAAGTAGTAGGAGAGGACTGCTCTGTCTACACAGTTTTCAAAACGTGGTTGAGTCATTATAAAAAAATTTTATGCTCACAACCGTTTCGTAGTTCGAGGGCCAAAATGTTGTAAAAATACAGTGAGATTCGGTGGATAATGCCTTATGAAATGTCTTTAATAAATATATGAATAAACAAATTGTATTATTTATAAGTTTCAATTCTTCGTAACCAAAAAGTAGTTGAGCGCATAAAATTATTTCGAATAAAAATGAGACAAATTTTATTTTTCATAACTTTAGAATAGATTAAACATATTAGGACAATGGAAAACAAGATAATCGCGAGAAAGATTACATTTTTGTAACTTTGAATACATAACTTTTTGTCAGGTTAGTGTTTAGATATTATAACACAGTTCATAAAAGAATTCTCGAAAAATGTCTATCAGCTCTTGGACTAAAAAGATATAATCCAGTTACAATATTTTCATTTCAAGATGTCGATTTTATCTCTTATTCAACCTAGCAAAAGCTTTTTCTTTCATCATAATCGATCGTATAACACTTAATCATGTGCATTGTTCACCGAAGTTGTGATAAATGTAGTCGTGCGCCACATAACTCAAGACTATGATGTGGGTGCATTAATCTTCGGTCATGTCGTTTTGATACATCACCCTTATGAGTTTGCCCTTGAACTTTTGCGTGTGTCAAAGCCTTTATAGATACGGCTCTGATGGAGGCCATTGTAGATCGAACTATTATTCGAAATACATTTCCAATATTTTTATTTCTATACTTAATAAATCTATAATGTAATCTTTTGTATTATAAGGTACTACTGTCGCGTAATAAGGCCCACTGTTTTTGACGGTTACAACCTTCAGTACACTGAAGAGGCTATTGCTTTAAGAATATGTTAGGTTGTTAAAACTAATTATGACTTTTACTTATTATGTTCATTTTATTTTGTAAGAAATTTTAATAAAAGGAACGTATCTGATTGTCTATGCATATAATACCAATAACATTGTTTATTATTATAATGTTGTTAATTAATGATTTTCCATGTTTAACCTGCATGTATAATTATATAATCATTAAACGTTATTTATGGAAAGAAATAATAGTAATTATGTATTAAGTTATAATAATAAGATATGAGTTCTATTATCAATTCACTCTGTGATTCTAAGTTGTTCATTAAATAATATAAATATAAATTATATAAAACAAAATCTATTAAAATATTAATTAATCTCATAAAATTTTAAATATCGTAAGCATTTATGATTTACAATCTCAATTAGTTTCCGTTTGACTTTTATCTCTCACTCTTCTTTTTTTGTGTCATGGCACCCTTGTTTTTTACGGGAAATGAGAGCAGGGCACTGGCGCTCGTTGGGTTTTCTTTCTCATGTTCGGTCAAGGTTTTTCAGAGAGAGTAAAGCGAAAACTTATAGAGGTGGAATACATTTATATAGAGATCAAGACCTCAAAATAACCATTGTACAATCTAATTGCAATTAATAAACGGCAAAAGTAATAGAAAGGTGTTTCATTAGTGAGAAATCTTATAAATATAACACCAGTTGATCGTAAAAGTTCCGTATTAGCAATATATATTATTATTCAAATGTTATATAACGCCATCTATTAAATAAACCTTTAATTAGGAAAATGTCATACAAAACAAAACAGAAAAATTGAATAACTAAAAGAATTGTTTTTTATTTCAAAACTAAACATTATGAACTAATTAATCAATGTAAAGGATGAATCTAAATACTAATTAAACAAATATTATTAATTGAACAAATACCATCGTATTAGATATCTTCAATTTTCAATGATTAGATTTTTCAATGTTCAATGTTCAACTGGTAGATTTCTTACAATCGTCTAAAATATGATTACCACCTAGACAATTAAAGCAAATTTTGTTCTTTTTTACAAACTCGCGTTTTGATCATATGGTTGACCAGAAAATTCTTTACAAAAGCAAAGTTTGTGACGTTGCGAGCAAAACTCACATATCAACCTAACCGGCTGGTTAATAATGTAAGAGTGATTCATATTTTTTATAAAGCCATCTATTAAATTAAATTATTATTATTATAACCTATTGTTTATGAATTCAAAAGTAGGTTTATAATAACTATTTATATTAAAATATTATGTGAACTATGGAGCTTAAATATATTGTTTTTAGAGACAAGTGAAATTTATTAAAATTCAACAATACATCATTAGTCACCTTAAATTACACTATAAGGATCTGTTAGTGTGGAAGTTTAATTGAGACATATTTTAGCAGCCCAGCAACCAAAAACACTAACTCTTATTATACGACAGTACCTTAAACATTACAATTTTGATCTCCTCGCTGTCCGATTTGTAAAATTATGCATATGACCAATATAAAAGAGTAAAACTACGTGCATAAATGGAAAAATTCTTATTCGATTTTATTCGGTTTCATCAATAGGGAAGGCCTGAGCCTTAGCAGTGGGGATCCATTTGCAATTTATTATGGATGTAATTTAAATGAAATGCAGTCAATGTCTATAGAATATTATCGACCAGCAAATACAAGAACTTATAACACACACTTAGTGTCTAACTTCATCAAGTTCTTTTTGCTAGCAGAACTTGAATTCTAAAAGATACAAATATAAAAAAAAAACACATCTATAGGTGAGGCAGTTACCATTGACGAAGAATATTTTTTGTTCTAGTGTAAGTTTTTCTTAGAAGAATATTATGGTGTTTAAAACCAATTATGAAAAGATACTACTTGAATTAGAGCAGTGTTATTTTTGTGATCTTTATTTTGATCCATACATTAGGTCTGAATTAGACTGACTACATAGTTTTGTTGATTTTGCTTATTTTCTTAGTTTATTTTCCTACACAACACTTTAAAACGTAATTGTTGAAGTATTTTTTAATTATTATTATTTATTATAATGAAAAAGGAGATGCATTATTCAAGATTGGAAGTTTATTTAGTAGTTTGTAACAAATATATTTTTATGAAATAAGCTATTTGATTTGGCGTTTGTTAATGCACCTGGAATTTATAATGCCTGACAATAAAGAATATTAATTATTTCTTAAGATTCCTTCCGGAGAAGTAATTGATATTTACTATTTGAAATCGTGATTATTACATTAATCATGTTTTAAATATATCTCTATTATTTTTAACTCTTCTTTTAATTTTTATAACATATATCGTTATTTAATTAATCTCACACTATAAACAATATTAAGTCCGTTGAGATAACTACAAAATTTAAGGGAAATCAGCCTAATTCAAAACGACAACATTTACTGGTTTTATAACTTATAAATTTAAGAGTTTAAAAGTTAGCAAGCCCGGCGTATGCAAATATATGTGGTAGTTGACTCATTAAGTTTAATTTTTGCTACGAAGTAAATAAAGCAATCCTGACAGTTTCTCGAAAAGTAAATAAAAAGAAGAATATCTGCGATAACCAGATGGCAGGTAATTTTTTGTTTAGACAGCTGAATTTGTAAAATAATATTATAAGAATATTATAAAAGTTATTACACTTCAAACCGCTGTCCTGTAAAATCGCAGTTTTGTAGGTATCCCGTATGTTCTTTGCGGACGTCGAAATAAATGAATAAACATTGAGGTGAATCAGACCTATATAAAAAAAATCCTACCTTTACCTATTTTAAGATGTGCATAATTTCATATTAAATAAAACTTGCAAAAGTATTATTATATACTCATAAATTTCATTTGTTGACATTTCCATCTTAATGTTTAACATAGTGACCAGATATTGTTTAAAATATATGTATAATTAAGCAAAATTATGGTAAGTAATATGGTATTCAGTTAAAACGCATGCTTAAACTTTTTGTGTGCTTTTTAAATTTCTACCAGGAAAGGTTAGCTAGTTGGATATACGTTATAAAATAAAGATCCATCGACCAGAATCATTATGAATCAGGTAGGATATTTTTTTTTTCATAAAACCCAATTACTTTAGACGTGGGCTGTGTTGTATCACCAAATCATTCAAGACTTAATTTTGACTTCAGTTACTACAGGGTATATAGCCTACATCCTTTTCTTTCACATCGGATTGAATCAAAATGCATTCAACTTTCAATACTGTATGGCTATCCATGTTGTATCTATATACAACGTGCACATTCAGTACATCGGTTTGAATCATACGTACATTCAATACAATATTGAACGCTGAGTGCATCATTTTCATTGAATCCAATGTTAACCAAATCAAAGTCCAGCGGATTTTACATCAATTTCCTTAACCCTTAATTTGATAAAGTCCGGTGTGACGGACACTTATTTAAAATAAATCCTGCCAAGTTTTTATTTCATGTTCATCGATTTCTAATCATTTAAATGTTTATTTATACCATAAACAAATAGTAAAAAAGAAGTAATAATTGTGGCAACATTGCATATGTCAGTTGGGACCCAAAATGTCTGCGAAAAGGCGGCCACCTTTTTTGCTCAAGGTATTTATAATTGTTTTTCTTATTTTTTTGTGGAAAAATGAATTGAGTTATAGATTTATTTATTGGTAATAAACATTTCAATAATTATTTACAGAAACATGCGCACTTTATTACATTTTTATGGTGTTTATTTGTAACTAAAATGTTTTGTCCGTCACAGCGGACATTGCTAATTGTATAGAAAAGTAATACTTTATTACTTTGTCCGCTGCGGCGGACAACGCCAAAATGTGTGTGCTTCTGCTTGTTTGGTTATGGCTCTGAGTTTGTTTTTTTTTCTTTGCCAACAGCCTAATTGCGCAAGTAAAATTATTGCTTTAGTGCCGAATGAACATGCACCTTCCGATGCTAGCGAAATATCAGATTCGGAAACTGAATTGCATGATTGTGCAAGGCAAACAGGTCGGCTACAAGAAAACAGACTGAATCCGTCAAAGTAAAGAAACCGCATGCACCCCGCCCTTTGAGTCCATTAAAATACGACAATATAGGACATTTCCCTTCGACCATGGAAGAAGGACGCTGCAGGTTCTGCCAAAAGAAAACTGTCGTGTATTGCATAAAATGCAACACAAGATTATGTTTCGTGACAGGAAAAGCCCCCAGAAATTGTTTTTTAACTTTTCATACAAAATAAACTGTACTTCGGTATCAATTAGTTCTAAAATGTTCATTTCTGTATTTTTCTTTGTAAAAATAACTAAAATACTTTGTAAAAATAAAAAATAACTGTTTGTTTTTATTTTCCGTAGTTTGGCAGTGTCCGCCTCAGAGAACATATAAATCTGACCATTAATTTCACAGTAATTGGCAAGGTCCGCTGTGACGGACACCAGTTTTCCCAGCAGTGGGCTATTGTAGATTTTTTTTTCATTTTTCTAGAACTTTATGACATACTCCTGAAACCACAAAATTGTCAAATTCATATATTTTGAATATTTTTATCGGTGCCAAATTAAGGGTTAAGATTAGTTTGAATCAAAAGTCACTCAGTATCGATGTTATCGAAGTTTTACTTGTTCCGTGATTGAATCCTGTGTCAATAGAGATGCTCACGTGGGCTGCAGAGCTCAGGGGTGACGCATTTGCCGGTGCGGTGTCTCAGAAGGGGTGGACGGCATTGACAACCACGTGTGCACACCCTCAAAGGGCACCGCGGCTCTGGCTCAGAGCAAGTCGGTTCACACCATCCACAAGCGTAATACTCTTCGTCAATATCACAGTCTTCTATTGACGGCTCGTGGGCTGTACCTATCGATTCTTCCGCTGAAGAAAGGTAGTAGCCATGAGAAGGAAGGATTGAATGTGTCAAAAAGAGGTTATGTATGAATTAATGTTAATATGCAACGTGTGTACAGAGAAGAAAACCGAAGAAAGAGAAAAGAAAAAATAGCTAAGAAACGGATGGACAATATGGAAGAGGAAATCATTAAATCGACTACAAATTAAATAATATGATCAAGGGCAGGTCAATAAAGACATTTCCACTAATAAACATAACAAAATACACACTAATAATCATTTTTTTATTTAAAACACTATTTTATAAGATACGAAGCCTAGTGACATATATTTAGCTGATGAACGGATATATAAGTATAAGAAGGTAATGATGGTATTCCGTTACATTAATAATACCATATTTGAAAAGTTAAAATGACACTAAAATTCAAGTAGAAAGATAAAGGGATTCGTGAAAAAATATTTGAAGATACTTTGAACGATAGCTAAAGTAAAATCGTATACAATTTTGTACAGATTATAATAAAAATTGTAGTGCAGGATAGGCAATAATAAAGTAATTAGTGAAAGGAAGAAAACACACATTTCACAATTCAGTCCAATTTTATTTCATCGAACATAATAAATAAGTACTTAAAACAATATAAATAACTTAAGTTTTATAATAAATATATCACCATATTAATTATCACAACATCAACAAAGGTAGTAAGTATCACATAAATTGTTAATTTAAAGCTAACGAAATATTAAGAAATTACAGTACATAGCATACACAAGAGTTAAGTACTAAAACACTAGAAAAATAGATATAATTTTATAAATATCATTAACAAAATTTCGTAGTGAATTAATTAGAATTTAATGTACGAATCATTAAATTCCTTTTCACGTCGTCCAATTATGAAGTTAATATCTACTTCTATTATTTATATTTTTGTATATTTTCTCTTTCTAAATAACAACTAACAATAAGAGATAGTAAGATTTAAAAGGAATAACAAGCGTCTTATTAAAGTAATAGATTGTTAGATTCGGAAAGATAATGTTTACTTTGTTTATACAAAAAAAACAAATGAAAAGAGACCTACTGTATACATTTACCTAATTTGATAGAATTTTAGTAGAACATAAATCTACAAAATAATTAGTTATGTCTACATCAGCGCGCTTTCAATTGCATAATGCAATTTTCATTTTAACTTTCCGCTCGAGTTGCGTCAAGTCAGCGTCTGTAACTCTGCATTTGTCGCATGCTCGTCAACTCTAACGCTTTGATTTTATCTGTCAAAATTTATGCGGAACTTGTAGCTGTCAGTATTAATTTAATGCATAACGCATGCAATGCTGTACACGAATTCATCGGTGATGGATCAACGTGCGTTGGTAGCATATGCTATAATTGCATATAGGTAAATGCAAGATGAACGAGAAAGAGCACTGGTGTAGACATAGAATAAGGCAAATTCAAAACGGCATATAGTGTATAATATAAGTAGATTACCTACTAATTAAAATACTTAGGTCCGATTCTTAATAGGACTTTTTCCAAATAAACGTACGTTAAGGTTTTCTCTAAAACATAAAAAATATTAATGTCAAATCTACCAAAAGGTCGTCAGATTTCAGTTACAAACCTTTGGGGCATTTATCTAATTCAAGGCATTCTCCATCGGGTGCTTTATAAAGTCCTTCTTTACAAAAGCATCCTCTAGAACATTGTGTAGAGCAATGAGGATTGGGGTTACTACAGGTTTTCTCGCAATTCTCGCAGTCTTTGTACACCTGGTTTGCATTGCACATCATCTTGTATGGTATTGGTACGTCTGTATATTGTTTGTTAGCTGAAATAATAAGTTTTTAAGTCTATAGCTCAATTTAATGATACCTATATAATATCATTGGAGATATGATTTGTATAGACTTTTATATTGGTTTGAAACGATCTTTAAATATTGGAAGAAGACAAATGTGATATTGTCCAACTTCAAAGTCAAAATTGTGTGCCACCCATTCTTTGGTGATGGAGGAAAAATTAAGTGGGTGCAAGAAACTCCATAACACGTCGATTACAATTTATTCCGTAAATCTATTTACGTTGCATATTTACATAGAACAACAACATGTCCATCAACAATTGATCGTGATCGTCATCAGCTCAATGACGCCCACTGCTGAGCATAGGCCTGCCATAGATGTGTTCTACCCACTGTCACTTCAGCTGAGCAATTTTTCGAGCAACGTCGCCACTCTTGCGGATTTCCTCATTCCTAATTTGATTAAATAGTTAATGCCAAGCGTTGCTCTCTCCATTACCCGCTGGGTGACCTTGAGTTTTCTTTCGAGACCCTTTGTGAGTGACCACGTTTCGCTGTTGTAAGTCATTAATGGCAACACACACTGGTCGAAGATTTTAACAAATTTCAATTATATAATATAAAAACTCACGTATTTCGTTTTGAGCCCGGTTAGAACAGTTCTCTTCTTTAACGCATCTGCCGTCCCTGTCTCGCACCATGTCACCCATACAGAAGCAGCCTCTGGCGCACTGCGCGGGGCAGGGGGATTTGGCGTTATCACAGGTCCGGTTACAGGTTTCGCAGAATCTGTATTCTTCATTTTCAGGGCAATTAGTGCCGTTAGGTCTAGGTTCAGTTGTTTCTAACTTGAAGATCACTTCTGCAGCTACAAAATATTAAAAGTGTTTGAAATTATCTATGCAACTTTATAGTTTTTAATAATAATTTTATAATATAATAGCTTCATAATTTAAAATCGCAACTAATAAATTCCTATCCATAAAATTTGGCATATTTGATTTTATAATATACCATTATAATTTGAAACTTTATCCTTCGTGGCTCTTGAAAACGTATTCCGTCCGATGACCGATTGATTTTTGACAATATTTTACACGCAATTGGTTTGGTGATTGATATTTTATTTTCTGATATCACCATCTCTCCACCAATCTACTAAATAAAAGTTAAGCAACTGTATAATCTTTATCAAAACAAATCAGTTCAAAAAGCCCATGAACATCAAGAAATATCGTTGATACATTTTTATTCGCCCAGGTAGGTTTTACGCACCATCTGCTGTTAGATTCATATTTATTCTCGAATCGGTATTTGATTGGATATCGCAATCCATGCCCAAGTGGAGAGTATGAAAGTTCCTAGTGGATATGTCTAAAATAGAAAGAATCAGTTTAAAAAAAAATCAAAAGAACAAAAGAGGATTAGAATGACTGGTTTGAAATCGGTGATCTCGGTAATTTCTAAACGTAAATCGGCAAATCTTGTAACACGTCAGATAAATGCGGACAGGATTGTTATTGGATGGGCGACCTCCTACAAACATCTATCACTTGCCTATCCTAACTAAGCTCTGTTCCTTGCTATCATCGGTCGGTCATTGTTTACTTACTGCACTTACTGTGCTGATCTCAATTGGCCAGCGTTACTGAGCCATAAAAGATGGTTTATTTGGTCGCGACTGATATGAAAGGCTCAAAATTATCAGACATGAAGAAAATTAGAAGAAGCTTTATCAAAAAACTGGTTTCAGTGACCAGGCTGATAATGATGCATTGGAGGTCTGATGGGTGTTCAACCACTTCACTTCCCAGGCAGCGGGGTATGCGTAACGTATTTTCATTACGTAAACACACTTACGTATTGAAGGACAATCGGAAAGATTGACGCAATGCCCTGTGGCATTCCGGACTTGATCGACGTTGCAATAGCAGCCCGGCCGGCAGATAGCCCGGCATTCCGGCACCGGGTCCAGACAGGTCTTTTGGCACCCGCCGCACATCAGTAGTCTCTCATTGGGTCGACACAATGATGCCACCTGACCTAAAATTAACGTCATTCGTATTTAGTTTTATAAATAACTCTGTCTTATATTCTGAGGCTTTGGCAGGAGTATCATACAATTAATTCCATAAATGACATCAAATATGCAATTTATCTGTTCTACTAAAATATCTAATTAAAGGGTTTGTTATATGTTACGATTTTTTTTTGTCGTAAAGTAAAAACATTATTCGAATTGGTCAATTAGCTCTCGAGTCTTTATTTTAGGTAACACATTAAATCGATAAATCCACTAAAATAATATCTAAAATTACCATAAATGTGAAATGAAAGCAAAGTTCAATATTTAATAATTATTCGTCGTTCTCAACTTCACCGACAAAATAATTGAGATCTACGCGGGTGCCAAGTTCTGTGTTCACTCGGAAATCGGGATGTAATTTAAGCACGCGTAGCATGACCAAACGTCCTGTTTTGAATGGGCCCGTGCTGTTCTCCGTTGGCTGTCCTCCGGAATGTAGAAATGTTTCGTTTTCCGAAAAAGCTCTTTAATTTTAGTCACACTATTGATTGCCTAGCAAAGCGAGGAAATGAGTACGCGACAAGACTGCTTTAGGACAGGATTCTTCTGCTTTGGGATCAACCAGAATTCGCAAAATAATTTGATCGTTTTGAAATGTTATGTTAATGAAAATAAAAACATAATTGTGATCATCAAAATAACGGGACCAAGCTCTCAAATGCAAAAATGCATTTGTTCAACAAATAGATCTATAAATTACGTGACAAGAATTTTACTGTCCCCCCCATTTATGTCAAAAAACGATGTCCCGTTATGTGCCATTGAAAAAATGGTCACGTTAAACCCGAGAAAAGTGACATTTGGTGTGGACAAAGCGCTTCTCGAGTTTGTCACGCTACCCGTACAAGATTTGACTTGGCCAGTATTTACGAGCAGGTTATATTTGCAACTTCCTATTGTAATGAATTACTTAAACCATAAGGTTGATATTTTTATTTTATTAAACATACACACTGAAGTTGTGTAGATAGCAAGATAAATAGCTAAGACCATTATGTGAAGAAAAAGAAAGGTATATTTTTTAGGTTTTAATATGTTTTAATCAAATCTGAAAATGATAACATACTTAATCATGTCATTATAATGGAAGCAAGATAATTTTTGATGTATAGTGAGTTGAAAGGTAATCACGTATCCAGTTGCTGGATCATCTCAAGTCCAAGAATTTTTATCTGTTATATAATCGGATACCTTATAATAATCTTTTAAATAAGTATTTTTTCAATAGTAGATTCAAACTGCATGATATCTAATTGTTCTATTTTGCTTGGGACCTTATTGTAGAAGCGCACACAAAGACCGCTGAATGAGTTATTAACTTTTTGAAGTCTAGTTACAGGCACCGTTAATTTATTTTTATTTCTTGTATTAAAATTGTGTACATCCCTTTTTATAGAAAACAATCTAATATTTTTATGAACGTACATTAAGTTCTCGTATATTGTATTGAGGGTATGCATTGAGAAGCAACAGTCATTATGTCAATTTCCTTAAATTTCTCCCTTAAAAAGTCCCTAATCCTAAAATAATAAATCGATCTGATTGCTCTTTTCTAAAAATGCAGATCTCGAAACCTTTCCAGTTTGTGAAAACATCACCTTTGTTTATTGAAATCGGTTCTTCGCATCGATGAATTTGAACCGGTTTTCTAGTAAACATAACTGTTTGTTTACATCTGTTCGTTTACAAATGGATTTACTGTAACTTTCCCTACTTTTTAACTTATATGCTGATAAGTATAGGTAACTATCATATTACAGCAACGGGTGGTCTTTTGGTGTTGAACAGAAACTCATGCCATCGTTATAGAATAGGACTGAATTTTAATCACTGGCTGCCTAAAGTCTCAATTAAAAATAACATAAGAAAAAATATTGAATTGAGACGTGTTGACTTATTTTTGTCTGATAACGATTTAAGGATATGTATAGATCTTGATCATTTTTACCTCCGTTTTTCAGTTTGTCTAATATGTATTTATTAAACGAAATGTGTATATTTACATGGATAATTTATTTTATTACTCTTATAGAAAAAATCTTATTGAATAAACGCTGTTACCTCGCGACTTCGCCCGCCTAAATTATAGCCTAATAAAAGCTTTCCTTCAGCCGCTCCGCCCGCGTATTCCTGTAATTTATATACGTTCCTCTTGGATCATTCGAGAAATCAACGGATTTTATACGGTGTAGATCTTTGTACCAGCGCCGGCACAATGAAACTATGTGTCCTAGGCAAAACACTGGAACTTAGCACCCTAAGCTGCAACTTTACACAAAATTAAACAAAATAAAATACTAATAGGGGTACACCGAATAAAGTATGTAATTTTGCTAATGACAAAAGAAACTCCAAACGTACTGCTGGTCTGAAAATATTGAACTTTTGATTACCGCGGACGTAAACTCATACTTAATTAACAAAAGCCTTTTTATTAGAGCACTGCTTTTTAAGATTCAAATAATTAGAGTAAACATAAGTCTGTTTTCCATGACATGCTGTCTCCCAAATATGAGCGCTGTAGGCAATTGCCTAGTTTGCCTATCGATGTCAAACGATGATATACTCGTAGCTTCCTATATAGGAAAAGAATATTGAAAATCGGTCTTGCAGATCGCCCGCCTAACTCTCTAGCCCAGGATACGACTTCTTATCGTGTTATGACTATATTTCATTTCATGTCACTACTTTGACATGTCTTTTGATGGATAAATTACCAACTTGGTACCACTGCTATTAATTCCATAATCATCATCAGTAAATTACGTATGTCAAAGTAGTAAAATGATATGAAATATCGTCATAACATCGACAAGATGTCGTATCCCATGGCTAGAATCAAGGATAGAGAGTTAGGTGGTCGCACTCCTGTAGTTTCACTATTAACAAAAAATCAAAACTTTAGTTCATGAATAAAGTATTGTTAGGAATCCTCGAAAATATGTTGAGGTTTGAAGCATAGTTTCTATTAGGTAACTGATATATAATACAAGGATAGGGAGATAGGTCTGTTTTGAAAGACTAGTAGAGATCTGTTTATTGTGAAAATTTATTGAGAAAATATTATAAGTATTAGTATTTTTTACGTTAGTCAAAGGAAATAATAATTATATTAGTTTACCTTATAAAGAATGGGTTAAAAAAACAAAGTAACCTTAATCATATTTTTATCAGTTTACAAATCATAAATAACAATAAAAAAGGGTTCAACTGCACAATATATATTTTGTTGTGATTTATTAAGATAATTGCATTATAGCCACATATATATTTTATGTCTTCAGAATAATTTTGCCGTCATAACTGACAATCGCATTTTTCATAGAAGCAACTAGATAAAATAGAAGAATAGAAGCATCTATGAAAAATGAGACTGCACTGGACTTATGACATCGACAAATTCGTGCAACGCGTTGCGTACCGTGCGGCCGGTGCGTGCGTGCTGAGGCAGTGGACGAGCACCTTTAACATTACTTTGTACCGTATAGTAAAAGCTTATGAAATAGCTTTCATTCGTTCATTCATAACAGATTTTTTTGTTATTTGCGATATTGAAATGAGAAAAAAGTAGTTACACCAACAATTCTTTTTGAGCTCGGTGCCAGTCATGTCATTAATAAGGAGGAAAACAGCACTCTCAGAAAATCTAGTATTTTCTTACTATATATTATATTTATCTTATAAATATATGACACCAACCTCAAAAAAAATGGAAGTGTATCCTTTCTGTATGTCTATTTTATTGAAGATAAAAATTTGTGGTATTATTTATCTTATTTCTGTAGTATCTCTATTGCGATTTTTTAAAAGTCGGTTTACTTTTATTAAAATTGGTTTTTATTTCTTTCTTTTTTTTATAATAGAAGTTATCACCGATCCATGTTACTTCTAACGTACAAATTGGCACCTCTGTCTGTATTTAAACATTTGTTTATTTACTGGATAAACATTTTCTGGGATGGTAGCAGCTCTAAACTAACCTAGCCTACTATTCAAAAAAGTATAATTTCAATCCAATGTCTAATTTATGAGAAAATACGTGGAAAAATATATGAGACACACATACATACATATTTCAACATAATCTAACAAAATTACGTACATCCACGACTAATTGATAACAATTCATTCATCATTTTTAAGGTCGGATAAAAACGTACAAGTCAAATTGATAACCTCTTTTTTTGAACTGACTGCCTCGTTTTTTT